CTCTGATACAACATAGACCTAACATCCTAATCTGCCATGGATAAAACAGGGGAACTATGGCAGCCAAATCCTGCTTCTGTAAAATATTGTCAATATATGCTTAAGAAGTCCCAGGCAGAGGGCCACACAAAACCCCCCACAGTCCATACCAATCTGATCCTGGGATAAAATTCCTTCCTGACCCCAAATATGGTGATTGGTCTGACACTGAGCAGGCGGACAAGAGCCTCTGGCTTTAAGTCCCAGCAGGAGCACTGGCACACCCCAGTCAAAGCACCCAGCCTTGGCTGCTTATGGGGCCAATAATACAGGAATGAAAAGGCACTTGTGATAGTCAAGCATGTAATATTCAGCTTTTCACTCCTAATCTGCTAAGTTGGGTTGGGGTTTTTTTAGCAATTGTGTGTACCAATATCTAATGCAAGTACAAAAATATGACTTCTGATTCAAGAATAAGTATTTACTTCATTCTGGGTGTAGATATGTATGCTATGTTACCTTTTTGCCTGGAAATATTTTTCCCTAAAAGTATACTCCTACATGTCATCTATTGAGATGTAGTTGCAAGAAATGGGGGGAATAAATGAGACCAAATTCTGCAATTGAGTTTTGTGGGTAGACCCTTCTGCCCACATATATATCCCCATTTGAAATCAGTGGAGCTCTGCATGAATGCAAGTATTCGCTGGTATGGATCCAATTGCAAAACATGCCTACTTCATTCCGGAGAATCAGAACAGACAGACAATTAGACACCACTTCCTCGTGATTTATTCAAATTACTTAGTCATCCTCCTAGCTCTTCTGAAATCAGTGATAAAATGTCCATTGACTTCGCTTCCAGGGACCAGGATTTCGCTTCCAGTTTCAAAGTGATAGGAGGCAAGTAAATCATACTCATGTCCTGCCAAAACTATGGGGGATATTGGTTAAGTTGATATTATATCACTGTTGTGCAAAGCTCTGTAAGGATATCTGCAAAAGGCAAAGATTCTGATTCAGCGTTGTACCTTCCAGGAAGCAAAACCCAGGCAGTGAAGAGTAAAGGTTATCTTTATCCCATCCTGAATTCTCTGCAGGTTCTGGTTGAAATCACAATAACACTAGACTGTTGCCCAGAGTAAAAGGAATATATTTTGTTTATTGACAACTTTGAAAGGTACTTCTGTGCTTTTCTTTTTTGCAACAATGCAATATAAGCACTGGCTTCTGTTGCTTTCCACCATGAGTATCAGGAGTGCGTTAAGAAGTTTGACCAGAGTCCATAGTTAGAGGTGGACTTCCCAGGAGTCTTTATTCAGTGCTCATGGAGCGTTTTTTCCCCGCCTGCTGCTCTCCTTTCAATAGTGCTCCAAAGCCTGTGCATTTTGTATAGCACTTACAGTTTATTAGGTACCTTGCCTAACTAGCACTGACAGCCTGATGTTCTTTTAGCAGAGTTAAAATGGCAAGCTCAGGTGCCTAGATCTCACTTTAATACTCATTTGTCATACAGCTCACACATTGGTAGACATATAGCTGCAAGTCACACTGGGGCTTGCAACTACTGCTGATACCTGTGGTATCTGGGTGCTATCCACGTAAAACAGACTGGCAATGTGAACATCCCTGCTTCTAACTTCTTGGTGCTTGAGAGTTAAATCTAGGGTCAGTGCCTGAGATCTGTATCATAGTCACCTGTAGACTCTTTGGCCCGTCTTATGATGTAATACAGGTTGTTGCATATATGTTATTCACCTTTACACAGTGTGGATCCCTCTCATGCCTTATCTCAGAATGAGGCTGTATCATCCATTGCAATATGAATATAAGGTAGAGTGCTTGTATGTGCCTGCTCTATTGTCCTATTTGGGGGCGGGGGAATAGAGGTTCTTCTGGTAACTAGATAAAAGAATGCTAAATTAACCAGTTTTCTAACAATTCTTGCCAAAATTCTACAACATTTAAAGTATTCTTGGGGTTACTGAGTTCAGTGCAAAGGGCAAAAGCTTCCACACTTCCAGTGAATGTGACCTAGGAACCAGCAATACATTCATAGTTTCATAGTTTCTAGGGTCGGAAGGGACCTGAACAGATCGTCTAGTCCGACCCCCTGCATGGCAGGAAAGAGTCTGGGGTCAAACGACCCCAGCAAGGTGTTCATCTAACCTCTTCTTAAAAACCCCCAGGGTAGGAGCCTGCACCATCTCCCTTGGAAGTTGGTTCCAGACCCTAGCCGCCCTGACCATGAAGTAGCGCCTCCTGATATCTAACCTAAACCTACCCTCTGCCAGCTTGTGACCGTTATTCGTGGTCACTCCTGGCTGTGCTCAGAGGAACAGTGACTCCCCCAATGCCTGCTGATCCCCCCTGACTAGTTTATCACAGGCCACAAGATCCCCCCTCAGCCTTCTCTTGTGGAGGCTGAACAGGTTCAGGTCCCATAGCCTCTCCTCATAGGGCCTGCCCTGCTGTCCC